AAAAAAAAAAAAAAAAATTAAATTTATGTGAGTTTTTTGCACTGCTGGTAGCTTAAGAAAATGCATTTTGTACATTTATAAACAGCAAGAAATTAATAAAATAGGAAAGATACAAATAAGGAGAAAGGAGAGGAGGCTGAATCGTTTACAAGCAGCAGAGCAGCAATCCCACAGGTGAGGTGGGGACAGGAGACACGACACAGCTCCTGTGATTGGTGTTGGGGACAGGGTGGGGCCGTCTCCCCAGCTGCATGTGGGCTGTAGTCAGCCTCTGGCAGTGCCAGGATCGTGACAGGAAATTGGGCAGAGCAGCTGCAGTGTCCAGGGCTATAGACTGTGTGACCTCTCCTGACTAACTGTTAGAGTCCAGCTTCCACTTGCAGCCTCTGGTGCCCTCATTCGTAGGCCAGTGTGTGGGGCCAGAAACTTCCACATTTCACTGTTTCCTGGATGGTCTGATGCTGCTTATTTTTTGCCCTTGTCATTTTGTCCTTGTTTCCAACCAGAGGAAACTTCATTTTCCCCCAACTTGTTATTTTGAAGCAATGTTAGGCACATAGAAAGTTCCAGAATGTCCTCCCATCTTCCCTGACACTGGCTCTCAGATGCGCTGTAGTGCGGGGATCACAATGAAGGACCTCCCAGCCTGACTCCTGACTCCAGAACTCAGTGCTTGGCCAGATTGCCCAGTCTGATGATGGACTCCCCAGGAGGTTGTTATGTCCCCTCCCTTCTATTCTGTGATGGTTCCTTGGTCTCTCCTTGTTTTTGTGACTTGTTACCTTGAAGAGTACTGGCCCACTGTTTGGTAGGATGTTCCTTACTAGGTCTGTCTGCTGCTTTCCCATTCCTAGGTTGAGCTTCTGCATTCCTGGCAGGAACATGCAGAAGCCAGGCCTCCGTCCTCATCCAGGAGCTGGGTGGTACCCTGGGTGATTATACAGAGGGGATCCATTTCTTATAAATTTAATTTTTATACACTTTTACAAATTTAATTGGTTTAAAAATTGGGTCAAAAGTTAAGTGAGGTATATATTACATGACACCACAGACTGGGCGTGTTATACAGAAAAGAGGTTTGTTTTGCCTCGGAGTTCTGGAGGCACAAGGCCATGGAGCCATATCCTTCTGCCTGCATACTCAGGAGTGTGTATGTGTGTGTCCCCTTGTTCTTTTTCTTGTTTTGGTTTTTTGAGGTCAGGTGTCACTGTGCAATCCAGGCCAGCCTTGAGCTCACAGGGATCCTCCTGCCTTAGCTTCCCCAGTGCTGGGATTGCAGGCATGTGCGGCCTTACCCAGCGACTCTCCTTGTTCCTGTACTGCTCCCCACATTCAGTCACAGAGGCTCTGCCTAGGTTCCCTTATCCGACCCTAACCCCTTCCCAAGGCCACGTATGAAATACTATAGTCTGTAACTGCTATATACTCTGACGTGGTTGCCCTGGAATTGAGCAGAATGGGGTACTGTTGTACATTTAAGGCATTCGTGGTCTTTTGTTGATCCGCACAGGCTGCAGTGCACATGTGTCTGCTGAGGTTCTGGGATACGTTCCCGGAAGTAGGATAGCTGGACCAAAGGATAAAAGCCTACAGAATTTCGGGAGCTGTGGCCAAACACTCCATGTGGCTGCATCCTCCCGCACTCCTAGCTCCCAGCAGCAGGAGCCTGCTCTGAGCCTGTCACCAGAGCGGTGGGCAGTGCAGCCTCTAGCTGCCGGCCCTCCTGGCCCCCTGCACTGTGGGCTGTGGATTTGACTCCTCTGGGTTTACAGGGAGGTAGCACACAGAAGGCACTTTAAGCCCTGTCTGGGATACGAATCACAAATGTCTTATCCATTTTGCTTCCTTGCTCTTTTTCTGCCTGCTCTCTCAGTGTCTCCTTTTAGCTCTCTCTTCCACTTGTTCCTGAAATGGGAGTGTGAGCTTGTCCTTCCTTCCTTCCTGCGCAGCCCCTCATTTGCATGTTCTTGACCACACCTAGGTCAGAGCGACCCAGTTGTAACTCCAGTCCCAGCCCTCTTGAGCCCCACATGCCCGCTTCTCTTGGTGTTTCCTGAGCAGGGGGCCTCTCTGACTCCAGGCTGGCCCCTGCCCTCAGCTCGGGCTCAGCCTGCGGGATCTCCCTGGACCAGGCCTGTGAGCAGAGCCAGCAGGACCAGGTTGGTGGGGCCGCACGGAGCCTCACAACAGCCCACAGAGGAGTCTCCCTAGCCCCGCGTGGAGGCAGAGCCAAGGGCTTTGCCAGCTCCATGCCAGTTCACCCTTGCCCCGGGACCTCCAGGCAGCCCCAGCCTGCTGCCATCCTCCAAGCCCTGCTCTGCTTCAGCCCCTGAAGGCCCTAACTCCCTGCAGACCCCATCCTGCTGTGTGCCGCTGTTTCCTCCAGGAAGCTCTTCTGTCTCTTTGTCAACATCAGGTGGATTCTTGGCTTCTTCCCACAAGCATGTGCTCATGGAAGCGGGAGCCACAAGCTCACTTCTAGCACAGTGCCTGGGAGTAGGTGTCTGAGACATCTTTGCTGGCTCTGAGATCTTTGGGCAGAGTCACATGCGGGACAGATGGAGGGCCTGGCCTGACAGCTTAAGCATTTCTTTGTCATCCTGGAGGCTGTGGAAGCTGGGGTGATTTATTTTCTTTTATTTAAGGTGTGATCTCCTGTTGCCTAAGCTGGTATCTAACTCCTGGATAAAGTAGTCCTCCTGTCTCAGCTTCCTAAGTAGCTGAGACTACAGGTGCATGCCACTATATCCAGCTAGGAGTGATCTATCTTTCTTTTTCTGTCTCTCCTTCCTTCCTGTCTTTTTGTTGTGTTTTTTGTTGCTTGAGACAGAGTCTTGCTATATAGTTCAGGCTGGCCTTAAATTCACTATGTAGCACAAGGCTGGCCTCAAATTCACAGTGATTTACCTGTCTTAGTCTCCCAAGAGCTGGAATTACAGGTGTGTGCCACCACACCTGGCCTATTCATGTTTTTTTGAGACAGGGTCTTGCTGTGTAGTTCAGGCTGGCCTTGAACCTGTAACCCTCCTGTCTTAGCTTCCCGAGTGCTGGGTTTCCAGGCCTATGTTAGCCAGCCTGGTGGGAGAGATTTGGCCCTGACACCACTCATCTGGCAGCAGAGTGAGGGAGGACAGTGGAGGACGTAGTCTAGGCATTCTTATGCCAGGAGTGGTCAGGAGGAGCGTGGCCGGCTATGGGGAGGAAAAGGTTCAGGGCCACAGTGCAGTGCAGAGCTCTGGCGCCATGGCTGGGCCCATCCTTGCAGGAGCTGTCCAAGATCACCATGCCGATCGCCTTCAATGAGCCCCTGAGTTTCCTGCAGCGGATCACAGAGTACATGGAGCATGTGTACCTCATCCACAGAGCCTCCCGCCAGGCACAGCCCCTGGAAAGGATGCAGGTGAGCACTGTGCACTGGCTGCAGGACGTGAGTGAATGTGCCCCGCGTGGAGGTCTGAGCCCATGGTCCTGGGGACCCAGGCACCCGCTGGTGGGAAGTCAGTGAGAGGCCCCCAGCTTTGTCCTGCAGTGCATTCTCCACAGGGGTCTGAGGCCCCTCCTGCCAGGAGTTCTGACCCTGCCAAGCTCGTGTCACTGTCATGAGTGTGCGCGCGCGTGTGTGCATATGTGGGTGGCACACGTGTATGGGTGCACACTTATCTGCACCTGTATGCAAGTGTGTGCGAGTGTGCATGCACGTTTGATGCCTGTGTTTGCATGCGTATGTCTGTGGGCAGAAATGTGTATACTAGAGCCTCCGGGATGCTTGTGTACCAGACAGACAGAAAGACAGACTGATGTTGCCATGGTGTTCACGAGGAGGCCCAACTGTGGGGGTGTTGAACAGTGCTTCTCTTTGTGGCTTTGAGGAAATGGAGGGTGACAAATGGCATTTGCCAGGAAGTTCTGTAATCTCAAAACACATTCCTAAGGCAGCAAGAAGTCAGCAGAGTGAGTAGCGCCTCAGAGGCCGGTGCTTGTGCTCCCCTGCAGCACTCTCGCTCGGCTCTCTTGGTGCCGCGTCTCAACCTCCTTGTGGGTTGTTTGCAGTCTGTAGCTGCCTTCGCTGTCTCCGCCGTGGCTTCCCAGTGGGAGAGGACTGGCAAACCGTTCAACCCGCTCTTGGGAGAGACATACGAGTTGGTCAGGTAAGGGGAGCGAGCCAAGTAGGGTGCAGACTGGCCTTGATGACAGATAGTGAGGTCTCGGCTCTGGGGTGGACTCTGTGAAGTGTTTGGAAAGCTGTGGGCAAGAAGATGTTTCACACGCACAGAACATTGTGCTAGGGGGAAGCAGAGCCCTGGTAATGTGGGACAGGGTTGAGGTGTGGTGCTCAGTGATCGGGCCACCTCACTGACATCCACACACAGCCAGGGGAGGCGCGCGGGGGTGGGGGGCGCCGTTCTGAAGCGGAAGTAGGTACTGATAGTGGAATGAGGCTGTCTTGCCACAGCACTGTGGTGAGTGTTGTTGGAAGAGATAAATCCAGAGAGCGACCGCAGAGGCCCTTGTTTACTTCAAGGCCTCTTTGCCGTGGCTATGCCCTGCTGGGTCTCGCAGTGGTGGACCGTCCTGGCTGGCAGCCCTTTCCAGAGCACATGGGTCTTCACATGCCTGCTGGAGTCCCTCCCCACGGGGTCTCTGGGCAGTCACCGCCCTCCTGGGTGCTAGTAGGAGTGAGGTTCCTAGGGCATTGTGTCACATGCCCCCCCCACAGCCTCTGCAGGACTGGACTGGCTGGGATTCTGTCCCCACCTCACTACCTCAGGGCTGCAGTTAGACTGTCCTAGAGACTCCACTGTGGGGAACACACCCATGGACAAACAGGGCAGCCACACGGCCATGCTGTCCGTTCTCTGGCCCTGGGGAGTCAGACGTGTGCAGCTGCCTTGTGGTGTTGTTCCTGCTGCCCGCCTGTTGCCCGCCGGGGTCCTTCTTAGTCTCTCACCCTTGGGCCCTGCGCTCCTCTACCATAAGGTAATATAAACAGAAGCAGCCGCTCTCCTGTATTCCTTCCTGGTTCACTTGCCAGCCCTTCCCTGCCCTGCTAGAGCGGGAACCATCTGGAGTTTTTAGTTGGACTCAGATGTTGGCTGGCAGTGAGTGGCCGAGCACCTGCTCTCCGAGCTCCGTTGCCTCTGAGAAAGCTGGGCTGGTAAGGAGAGTATGCTGTGGTGACAGAACAGGCCAAGCCACCTGGGCTGGGATCTGTCCCAGCAGGAGGGACCATAGGGAAAGACCCCGAGGGCTGTGCTGAAGGACATCTTTTGTGTGCGTGGAGACTGAACCCAGGGCTTAAGTATGCTGGGTTTAGGCATATCTTCTGTTTTGAGTTCACAGAACATTTCTTTTCTGGACAACTCCTGGGCAGCACTAGCCATGGCTGGCAGCCCATGAGCCCCTCGGTCACCTGTGTTGAGTGTGTCTAGCTATTAGGAAATAATTGAGATATCTTGAAAAAGATAAGTAAGCCACCCCAGGGAAGAAGTTCTGGAGGGTAGAAAAGAAGCCATACGGATGAGAAGGATACAGATAGCCCGAGATGCGGAATGAAATATGACACACAGTGAATGTTAGTCTTTCTCAAGAACTTAATTCAGGGGTTGAACTCAGTTTCACAGATTTAAAGAAAAAGCAGCCTCTTCGGATTCCTGCACAGTTGGCTCGTCACACGCTCCTCTCTGGGCCCTGCTGGCCTGCGTCCGCCACTCTGAGCACCTGTGAGACCGGGCTGTTCTGGCAGGGCCACAACCGCATAGACCCGTCCCGCTCAGTCTGCGTCTCCCATCCCTTCACAGCCCCCTTGGGTGGCTAAAAATACACTTGCTTTTCTTAGACAAGTATTCATTTTGTAAATTACATACCTTGGTAGGCAACCTTTTAAAACCTAATTTTTCAACTTTCTTTCCTCTGTAATGGGGAATTCTGATTCCAGCTAAGTTAGTAATTATGTGGTTTAGCTTTTATAATTTTTAATGACTACAACTGTAGGTGTATTCACAGTTCCGGAACAATTAAAAACTGACATTTTTATTGAATAAGAAAGTCTGCTGAAAGTCCTGTTTTCTAGCCAGGAATATTTTGAGGTCTAAGATGTTCCATCCCAATTTCAGGAGCATTATGAAAGGGCTGGACAGGGGTGCCCCTTCCGAGGCCGCAGAGTGGAACTCGAGTTTGTTAGTGTCAGATCTCTGGAAGTTGAAGTGAGAGTTTGGGCCAGTGTCAGCCACATGGGAAGCAGCTCTGCCCAGTGCCCACAGGCTGAGGTGTCCTCCGTGTGGGCGGCTGGCAGGGTGGCCGTTGTGCCCTTTGTGCTCTATGAGTTGGGTAGGTAGGTGGCTGTCTGCTGTGTCAGCCTTAGGCACTGTGTCGTCAGGGAGGCCCCTGAGCCTCTGCCCGCTAGAGGAGAAAGCTGAGAGAGCCTGCCGGCCTGGGCCTGCCCAGTGAGAGGCTTCCTTTGTACTTTGTTGCCACTAATGTGACTGTTTCATTTTCCTTTCCTTCCCCTTCCTTTCTCTTATTTTTGGATCTAGGGAAGATTTAGGATTCAGATTTATATCTGAACAGGTCAGTCACCACCCTCCTGTTAGTGCATTTTATTCAGAAGGGCTCAGCCAAGACTTTGTGTTCCATGGCTCCATCTACCCGAAGCTGAAGTTCTGGGGCAAGAGCGTCGAGGCAGAGCCGCGAGGGACCATCACCTTGGAGCTGCTCAAGTGAGTGGTGCTGGCTGAGGCCGGAGGCCTGCCTTCCACACTGGCTGCCCTCTGGGCGACCCAAGACTTCTCTGCGGGGCAGGCGGCCTTCCTGCCTGGTCAGGATCTCATGGCTTGGGAAATGTTCTCTCCTTGGGACTGGTGAGGTGTGTGTGTGCCCCACATGCCGATGTGCTTGAATCACCACCGTATCCATCATCCCTGGCTGCGTGGCAGCCCCAGACCCAGCAGCCTGAGCCATGGGTTTCTGAGACCCGCAGCACCTCCAGGTAGCACTGAGCGGTACCCTCCCTCCCGCTTCTGAGCTGCTTCAGTCCTGGCCTTGAGGCCTCCCCTGGGCTGCTCAGAGCAGGGCACTGTCCTCCGAGGTGAAGGTAGGGAAGGTCCCTGAGAGAGAGCAGCCATGACAGAAGCCACAGGAGGGGGTGAGGCATGCAGAATTGAAAAGTTGTTTTTAGTGGAGATTGAACCTGGGAGCACTTTACCACTAAGCTGGTGAGGCCCTAGCGCTTATGAAGCAGGTGGTAGAACCACTGAGCCAGATCTCCAGCTCTTTCAAAAATTTTTTACTTTATTTTTGAAATAGAGTCTCACTAAGTTGCCTAAGCTGGTCTTGAACTCACAATCTTCCTGTCTCAGCCCTCTAAGTAGCTGGTATTATAGGTGTGCACCTAGCTACAAACCTTTTTGACTAATGTGTTTGGGTTCCACCTGGGAAACCAAGGGATTCCAAATGTGTGTCATGAAACGTCCCATTCTGAGCTGATTCTTGCCCTTAGCTCCTGAACGTGGTCTTAGGATACAGGCCTGGCCATCTGTTGCAGCTCACATTTGTGGGTTTTCCCCTAGGGCAGGGCCATGTGGAGGATGAAGAGTAAAGAAAAAGGTATGCAGAGCATTGTTGACAAAGTAACCCTCTCCCAGCATCCTCCCCGGGCAGTGTGCCTCCCCACAAGGCCAGGGACCTGCCAGGGACTGGGCATGACTGCACTCTGCCCACTGAAGTGGCTTTTCTTCTGACAACTTCACAGGAAAGCCATTTCCTTTTGTCTCAGTCTTCTTTTATTGCTTATTAACTTGTCTTGACATTTAAGTAGAAAGCTTTGTTGATGCTACAAAGGAAAGAAGAAATAAATTTCAAATGCATGCTAAGTAGCCTGCTTGGAGGGACTTCAAAGCATTCTGCCCCTCAGCAGGCTCCTGGCCATTGCAGTCCAGTTCTGTCTGGTCATGGTGCTCCAGGTCACGTAGTTTCTGTGCCTTGTCGCCCCTCACTTGCTTGTTCCTGGCCTTTTCACAGACACAATGAAGCCTACACCTGGACCAACCCCACCTGCTGTGTACACAACGTCATTATCGGAAAGCTGTGGATAGAACAGTACGGAGTGGTGGAGATTTTAAACCACAGGTAACTGTGCCAGCATGTGTGGCAGCTGGCGTGCATGGCAGGATGAGCTGGAGGGCAAGCCTCATGGGGTTCACTGTCCACGTCCCTGCTCCACTGGCCTGCCTTTGCCCTCCTCCCTGTCCCTCAGCTCCAGTCAGTGGGGGCCCCCTGCTGGCGGTGGCTGGTGGGATTTGGTTCTGGCCAGTGTCAAGGTTATCTTGAGGGGCCCACGTTGAGTGTAGTTTTTAGTCACAACAGCTAACTTAGTTGAGATTTTGAACTGCATTAGATAGTGGTGTCCTCACTGGTGCAGCATCGACTGTCTCCAAACGTGACGCAGTGTCTAGACTGTAGTGCCCGGGAGCGCACGACTTCTGGCTTTGTTCTTTAGCATTGTGAAGAAGTGGTCTTTTGTAACTTTGTAAGTTCCCCTGCTTTAAATGGACATCTAAGCGGTATGTTAGAATTTACAGACGTGTGCAGCCATCACCCAGGCCGGTCACAGAGCATTTGTGTCACCCCTTGTGATGCTGGCTGTCATCCATGGCCACCCTGCACTCCTAGCCTAGTCAGTCCCCTCCCTCCCTCTGTAGTTTGGCCTTCTCCAAGCATTTCACATCATAAACGAAGCCTATTTTTCCCACAGAACCGGTGATAAGTGTGTGCTTAACTTCAAACCGTGCGGACTGTTTGGAAAGGAGCTTCACAGAGTAGAGGGGCACATCCAAGACAAAAAGTAGGTCTGCACTTGTGGAGTGCACGTGCACGTGCACCAGATACAGTTACGCAGTGATGTGTCCCCAGTGGGAATACTGATGGCTCCTTTGCTTAGGAAGAGGAAATAGGGAGTGGTCTTGAGCATAGGTTCAGGGGTTGGGAGAGTGCAGCCCATCCTCGGGAGGCAGTGAGGTGAAGTTGCTCTGAGATAGTGGACCGTTTTACCGAGAGCTAGTACCACAGTCTTAGACTGCTGTGATCTGAAAATGAACCATGTATTTCCCTCACGCTACTGGCATGAACTACATGTAACACCCGACTGGTTCATCCCCATGTGTAAAACAGAGACTTAAGAGTTTCTGTGGGCAGAGAAACATTCAGCGGTGTCTTAGTAGAGTGTTCAGATTTTCCCCTGTTCTGCCTTAATTACTTTCTCTTTAGGGTCTCAAATTACTAGGTATTTTTTCAGCAAGGAATTTGGGCCATATAATGTCAGAAGATTCCTTCCAGCTCTTATGATCTATTTTCCAATTTAAAACACTTTAAATTGCCTCTCCCACTTTCTCTTGGGCACCAGGAACTTAGCTGTTCTCATTGTCTGTAAAAGGCCACCAGACTGGCCCCTTGTCCTAGGAACCTGTTAACTGGTGTGCAGCAGTTAAGGGTGGCAGCCCCAGTGGTGAGGCAGCAGTAACCAGCACGGTGGGCTGGAGTCACCCTGAGCCGCAGGTACAGAGGCTCATGGAGCTGATGATGCCAAACCAGTCTACATCTGAGCGTGCCCTTTCTTCTGAGATAGAGAGTTGCCCACCATGCCATCCCTGCAGATGAGCCAAGGTTGTGGGGCCGGAGCCAGTGAGATGCTGTCCCAGTGACACAAGCCTGTCAGAGCAGCGCTTCATGGGAGTGTGTGACCAGTATGTGCTCTTCCCGGACAGAGGGGAGAAGGGAAAGGGCCCAGCACTGTACTAACTTTTGGAATCAGGCAGATAGCTTTGTGACCAAGAGAAATCATATGCCATCGCCTCAATTTGGGCAAGGTTGTGGATGTGACTGACAGAAAAAGGTCTCAAGGACGTACAGCACTTGAAAAGCCAGTTTAAGAAACAGTAATAGGGGCCAGGAGGTTAGTGGTGAGCACTCGCCAAGCATGGGTAAGACCCTGGGTTCCATCCATAGTGCCACAAAAGCAAACAAAAACAGATTGAAACATGCAAATTTAAATTTAGAAAAATAGATACCCAGGCTGGAGATTTAGCTCAGAGGTTCCGCTGCCTGCCTCACAAGCTCAAGGACCTGAGTTTGATCCCTGGTACCAAAAAAAAAAAAAAAAAAAAAAAAAAAAAAGAAAAGAAGAAGAAAAATAGATAACCCTTCTTGTCCCTGCAGCCCTGTGGTTGCCCCATTGTGAGGCTTTTACCTTCAGTTTTACTCTGCTTTGGTGTGTCAGGGTTGGGAATAGTTGCCCTCAAGTGGCATGAGGCCCCCTAGGACACACATTTCCCTCTTTGCGCTTCTGTTCAGTGATGTCCCAAATACAGAAGGTGTGCCTCAGAGGAGCATGTTCTGGGCCATGGAAGGCTGTGTTCAGATGAAGGGCTTGTAGTTGCTCTTGACTGGGTCTTCACCCGCTTTGTTATAGCAAAAAGAAGCTCTTCATAATCTATGGCAAGTGGACGGAGTGCTTGTGGGGCACAGACCCCACATCCTACGAGTCCTTCAAGAAGCAGGAGAAGAGAGGTGACCACCTGAGGAAGGCCAGGCCGGTGAGTCTCTGCTCTGGGCACCCAGGGCAGAGGGGCCCTGGGGAGCTGAGGGCCACAGCTGCCTGCTGACTGCCCTGAGGTCAGCCCTGTCTTCCGCTTGCTCCTGGGACTGCAGGGAGAACTGGATGTGTGCAGTTTGTCTGTAAAGATGCAACTGCTTGTCCGTCTAGACCTGGTGGTGGTTGTGGGGCCTTCTGTGTCCAGACTGTGTCGTGGTTGCTCATAAACTGCACCTTCCTCCCATGGCTGGAAGTGACCCAGGAAGCCTCAAGTAAGCCCATTTCTTTTCTGGAAGCTCTAGGTTCTGGGTCCTTCTCAGTAAATCTTCCTTTACCTGAGACAGCCTTTATCTATTTAAAAAGTCAGGCAATTTTCATTTCTGCTTTTTCAGTTCTGAATACTAGGTAATATATTCAACAGTCAGAAAAATTGGCAGGGATTTTTCCCCCCCGTACTTTGGACGACTTGTGATTTTAAGACTAGTTATTCTTGATAATTCAAAGATAAGTCATATTTTCTAATTATTTGGAATGTACCAAACTCAAGGTGTCCAATATTTTTTTAAAAAGGTTCAGCCTCCTCCAGGAGTCTTTGTTGTTGTTATTGTCTTGGGGGGGTTTTTTGGTACTGGTAATTGAATTCAGGACCTTGTTTTTTGTTTGTTTGTTTTTTTGTACCAGGGATCAAACTCACTTTGTACTTGCCTGGCAGGCCTGGTGCCTCTGAGGTACATCACCGGCCCAGGAGTCTTTGTGTTTTTTACTTTATATTTCATGTGTGCAGTTAAGACATCTTTTTTTTTTTGGGTGTTTTGAGACAGGGTCTCACTATGTAGTTGAGACTGCCCTGGAACTCACTATGTAGCCCAGGCTGGTCTCGAACTCACAGCGATCCTCCTGCCTCAACCTCCTGAATGCTGGGATTATAGGCGTGTGCCACCACACCCGGCTTAAGACATCATTTTAATAATTCTTGTTTTGTTTGTTAAGGAAAATTCCATTTAAAGAGTACTCATTTGAAGTGTTCTCTCCATAGAGTGGTGTCATGTAGTGCTTTCCCTGGCTCTGCTGTCCCTTGGGACACTTAGAAGTCAGTGCTTCCTGTGATTGCCACCCTGAGTTGTCAGTGGCAGTGGCACTGTTGACGTCAGGAGAGGAGCTCTACACTGAGTCCCAAGTGTTCCCTCTCCTCAGCTGCACCCGTTTACCGTGCTCTTCTTCATCTGGGCCTCTGGCCCTGGAGACAGGGGAAGCTTATGGACAGCGGGGCTTAGTCTGGAAAGCAAGCCACCGGGTGGCAGCACTTGGGCAAGCCCTCCGTCTGCTGCACTTTTGTGCTGAGTGGGGCAGCTGGTGGGAAGGTGTACTCCAGGCGGTCTGGCACCCGGCTTTCGGAGGAGAGCCTAGGGTGCCTGCAGCCACGCCCATCTGTCTGTCTTCTCTCGGTGTAGGAAAAGCCCAGTGCAGGGGAGCTTTGGCACTGATGGCAGGTTGATTGACATTACCACTTGGGAGGAGATTTAAGAAAAAAAGGCTCTCGCTCTGCAGAGGGACTTGGGGACAGGTCTCATTCCCACTGGCTCCTGTACTACTGAGGCAGTAGTACCAGAGTGTCCTGTGTTTCAGGATGATGGCTCAGAAAAAGCTGACCGTGATGTGGCCGGTGATGTGGCCAGTGATGTGGCTGACGATGTGCCTGTGGCTCAGGAGACTGTGCAGGTCATTCCCGGAAGCAAGCTTCTCTGGAGGATCAACAGCCGGCCCCCCAACTCTGCCCAGGTCTGTAGTGCTCACAGCTTCATGCCCCTTTGTGGGGCCAGGCACCTCAGGTCTTCAGCCCATCCCTGTATCCCTGCCCTGCCTCAGTTGGCTGTCTCCGCGCAGTGATGTGCTGTCGCATCTCTGCGTCCACTTCTGCTCTCTAGACCTGCACCCCAGGGCCTGCCTTCTGCAGTGCTTGTGTGAGATCTCCGAACCGGTACCTGGCCACGTCATTGCACCGCCACAGCACTGGCGTTCCCACAGCCACGCCTGACCCTCCATCAGGCACCCGACATGAGGCTGGGCCCGGAGGTTTGCCCTGACTACCTCTCATCAAGAGGGGACTCCAGGCTCCCTGGAAAGACTAGTTTTCTGGCCTCTGGGTCTGTCTTTCTAATCTGATCTGTCCAAGACCGGGTCTCACTGTTGCCCAGGCAGGCCAGAATGCCTGGGCTTAGACGGTCCTGCTGGCTCTGCAGTGCACACCGCTGGGTAGGACTGGCTACAGTGCGGGCATTAAGTGCACTGTGACGTTTACTTTTGAAAGTTGCACTTACAAATTTTATTACATATATATTAGACTAAACTTATTCTAGTACATATAATGACATATAATACAAATGTATACGATATGACTAGCATAGCGTTACATAATATACTGTAATACTTATTACAGGTTATGCTCTTTTTTACTGTAGTCCATGTAGAGCAGCGTGTGCGAAATGGGAAAGGGAGCAGAGCAGACTGTACCTGTGAGCATATCACCTCACTGTGGCCACTGTTGCTTTGTTAGAGAAGTATAAGCTAGTATGATGATGTTAGCTTATTTTTTAGGGGGGGAAAAAAAGCTTTTGTTTTCAGGGAAGTTTTTTTTTTCTTTTCAGATTGATTTTTTTTTTTTTTTTTTTTTTTTTGATTTTTTTTTTTTTTTTTTTTTTTTTTTTTTTGGAGACAGGGTCTCACTACGTAGTTGAGAGTGACCTGGAACTCATTGTGTAGCTCAGGCTGGTCTTGAATTTAGAGATCCTCCTGCCTCAGCCTCCCGAGCGCTGGGATTACAGGTGTGCGCCACCACGCCCAGCATTTAGATTGATTTTTTTAAAAAATGTTTTATCCCCTTTCCCCCTCAAGCCCACTCTCAGGGAAATTTTTTAAGAATAACCTCTGCCCCACCGTCTGGTTCTCTGGTTCTGGCTGAGGCCTGCTGCCTGCCAAGTGCTGGAGCAGACTGGGAGTGGTAGCAAAGGCTCAGCCCATGTCTCCAGCCCAGCGGGTGGCCGGTAGCAGGCAGGGGACACATCCTGGGAGTCACATGGTGCTGTCTTAGCCGGTGTTGGGGACAGGATGGCCAGGGCAGAGCCCCAGGCAGGCTGATGCGGGAGGCCCAGGCCTGGTGCACTGTGGAGCCAGGAGCAGGGCAAACAGGCAACCTCGACTGTGGCTTTGAGCGATGCAGGGTGCCCTGGAAATCACCTGGGCAGAGGGAGACCACAGGGTCTGCACTTCTGTGGCCCTTAAGCCACCTCCTGGGACATAGTGACAGGCAAGAAAGAAAAGGAAGCTGGGTGGGAGCAGAGGGTCAAGGCCAAAAGGTCCAGTACATGCGCAGACTGCAGTTCTATCCTCGGTGTGCTGACAGGAGGTTCTCAGACACAGAGATGTTGAAGCCAGGCGAGGTGCACAGCTGTGACCCCTGCACTTTGGCAGGTTGAGGCAAGAGGATGGCTAGTTTGAGCCCAGCCTGGGCAACTTAGTGATTTAGTGAGAGCTTATCTCAAAATAAAAAAAAAATAGAAAAGGGGCTGGGGATGTAGTTCAGTATGAATGCCTGGGGTTCAAGCACCACTAAAAAAGGAAGGATATTGAGTAGATAGGTGTCTAAATCAGCAGTCAAGATGAAAGACTAAGCTGGAGAACAGGCTTCCCTGGTGCAGAGTATATATGGTGCCCTAAGACTGAAGAGTGGCGCACACCTGTGATCCCAGCACTTGAGAGGCTGAGACAGGAGGATTGGTATAAGTTCGAGTCCAGCCTGAGCTACTTAGTTCAATGCCAGCCTGAAGTACATAGCCAGACCCTGTCTCTAATAAGAAAAAAAAAAAAAAAGACTGAAAAACGGAAGAGTGCCAGGGCTGAGACCCTGGGTGGCCCCGTGGGGTGAAGAGGGGCAGGCAGTGTTTCTCTGGGCTCGGAGGAAGCAGGTGCTGGGCTGAATAGGACACAGTGTCCCTGGCAGGTATGTTCTAGTGACACATGGCTACATGCAACAAATTCAGGGTGACCACGGCTTAGACCGTGAATTATGTGCACCAGGGGCCACTTACTGTGACATTCCTGTGCCCCTGCAGATGTACAATTTCACCAGCTTCACTGTGAGTCTCAATGAACTAGAGTCAGGCATGGAGAAGACCCTGCCACCCACGGACTGCCGCCTGCGCCCGGACATCCGTGGCATGGAGAATGGCAACATGGGTATGTCCTGGGCCGGGGGCATCACAGAGCACTTGTGTGGGTGGGCAAGGGCTTTCGCCTATGACAGGCCCCAAGACTTTTCAGTCAGACCAAGAAGCAAGCAGGCCTTCGAGGAGCCTGCCTCTCATGCAGCTGTGAGGCACTGTAATAGCCTTTTATAAACCAGTAAATTAAACTCCTAGAAAATGAATGACAGCAGGGCGGCCTGTGACCCCAGCACTGTGGGAGCTGGGAGGACTGCAGGTTTGAGTCGAGCCTGGGCAATTTAGTGACCTAGCAAGATCCTCTCTCAAAACAAAAAGGGCTGCTGATGTAGCTCAGTATAAAGGCCGGTCTCTCTCTCTCTCTCTCTCTCTCTCTCTCTCTCTCTCTCTCTCTCTCTCTCACACACACACACACACACACACACGCACCAGCTAACACACACACACACACACACACACACACACACACACACACACACACACACACACACACACACACACACACACACACACTCTAATGTTTATTATAGAATTCATTGTGTATTAGGATTGTATTTTAAAGTTATGAGTTCATTCAGGCCTGCAGAGAGTCACTGTTGTGTTCCTGTCTTGTTCTGCATTAGGACTGGGCAGTAGCCTGCAGTGGCCACCTGTCTGTCACTCTCCTGGTGAGCACTGTGTGTGTCAGTGCTCCGTTTCAGCATGACCGTGACCAGTGTAGGTTAGAACTCCCCACTGCGGATTCCTGCTGAGGGGCCCTGGGCTCTCCTGTAACCATGCTTCAGAGGAGGAGCCCACCTGCTGGTTGGGGAGGAATGTAGTCTGCATGCCCAGGAGTCCACTTCCTACCTAGTCCTGAATGAGCTCTGCGCTCAGTTTATAGAAGCCACAGTTTTTCCAGGAGGGTGCAGGTTAAATAGGGCTCATCTTGATGACAGTGGCTTTGGATTCATACTTGAGGGCTGTGTGACCTCGCCTGGTCACGTCAGGTGGTGGTGCGTTGCCACGTGTATGTCATGGCCCACACTTGGAGCAGTGCTGTTGCCCAACATGGTGGCTGCTGGCTCTATGTGTCCAGGCGAGCCCCTTCAGCACCAATACGGGGAAGGGTAGAGGCAGCTGGGCCTGGTAGCCGGGACAGAGCTTCACTTGACAGTGGCTTCCCAGCCAAGGTGGAGCTCATCCTCTAGAGGTCAGAGAGCAGGGTCCTGGTGCCTCTGAAGTGACTGGAGCTTGGAGCAGGCAGGACCCTTAGAAGCCCATTTGCTCCTAGATCTGGCCAGCCAGGAAAAGGAGCGGCTGGAGGAGAAGCAGAGAGAAGCCCGCAGGGAACGCGCCAAAGAGGAGACAGAGTGGCGGACCAGGTGAGGCGGGCGTGCAGGAGGAGGGTGGGCAGGCAGGTGTGTTCCCCTCAGACCTGCAACCCTGGTCGCCAAGGGTAGCATTCCCCCGGCACCATGAGGTGAGGCACAGCCTGGGCTCCTGGTTAGCGCACACTCAGCTTGAGGCCACTGCTGGGGGAAGGCTGTACAGAGGCCCGGTCACCAGGCCCACCACTGCTGCCCGCTTCCCCACGTGTCCAGTTCAAGGGCGCAGTGCAGCCGTCCACTCAAACAGAACCCAAGTGGTATGAAGGCTGGTGCTGCCCCACAGCTGCGCACATGGCGAGGTCACTCAGGTGTTCCGGGCTACGGGTTACGGAGAGCCAGCACCAGTCTTCTCAAGTGTCGGCTGGAGCCTGGCCTCCTGCAGGCCCTGCTCAGTGCAGGACACACACTACATGCAGATGTGAGGGGGCAAGGGGTGCTCAGCCCGGGAGGGCATGTACACAGGTGGGGAGATCCACTCACATTGGCTGTTTAAATTTTATTTATTTATTTATTTTTGTACCGGGGATTGAACTCGGGTCCTTGGGCTTGCAAGGCAAGCCACCGAACCACTGAGCTAAATCCCCGGCCCTTTAATTTTTTTTTTAGTAGTCATAAAACACAGTCTGTTTCATAGGGTTTATTAATCTGTTTTAAATAAGCCCAATCTATGTTTTGTTAATATAAGCAGTATTATACATTACATACATATACTATATATATATATGTGCATATATATGTATGTATATGTGTGTGTGTGTGTGTGTGTGTGTGTAGTGATGAGGATGGAATCTGGTGAAATTGAAAAAATGAATGATGGCCACAAATGTACTAAATAAATATATGAAAAAAACCACTGAGCTAAATCCCCAGCTATATCATTTTTTAAGAGCTGAGCATGATGGTATAGCCTATAATCCTAGTATACTGGAGGCTGAGGAAGGAGGATTACAAGTTCAAGGTAGTGAGGGCTACATACCAAGACCCCATCTCAAAGAAAGGAAAAATAAATCTGTTGCAAAAATCTTTGGATGGTGGGCATGGTGGCGCACGCCTTTAATCCCAGCACTTGGGAGGCTGAGGCAGGGGAATCACTATGAGTTCTTGACCAGCCTAATAGTGAGTCCAAGGTCAGTCTGAACTATACAGTGAGATCCTGTCTCAAAAAAATAAAAAAAGGGCTGGGGATTTAGCTCAGTGGCACCATGCCTGCTTCATAATCGCCAGGTCCTGAGTTCAATCCCCGGTACAGAAAAAAAAAAAATCTTTGGGTGTTTTGAACAGCTCCATCTTTTCAGGCTTCCCTCCCTCACTTTCTTCTGAGACCAGGTCTCGCTGTGTTGTCTAGTCTCTTGAACCTCGAACTCCTAGGAACAAGTAACCCTCTTGCCCTAGTCCCAGGGAGCTGGGACTGTAGGTCCATACCACCATGCCAGCTGCTTCACTCTTTGCTTTGGAGGCCTACTAATAACCACCCTAATGGGATGTGGTTGGGATTTTTAAAATCAACTCTTGATCCTTAGACTTCCAATTTAATATTGAGCCTTTAGTGGTTTTATATTTGGAATCTCCCTTCGTTTCTGAGAAAAATCATCAAAAATAACCCTTTTTTAAAGTGTCAAAGGTATAAAAAATTATATTGTGAAAATAATATTTTGTCTTTAGAAGATGATTTTCTTTGTAAGCTCCCCAAAATAGGCTTCATGGCAAATTGCAAATGTTCTTAGTTGCTTTTGTGCCATGGAACAGTTGTGGCGTGAAGCTGCAGGTGGTGCAGGCTTTAGAAGGAGCCAAGGGCGGCGGGAGCTGTGGGCAGTGGCTGCAGTGGCTTCTGACTAGGACCAGTGCCTGGAACCTGCTGACCCGCAGGCTGCAGGTGCCCTCTTTTTGCTATGAGAATGTCCTGGTGAGAAGGTCTTTGCTGTTGGGAATGACATTGACATAAGCGGATTGTGTAGGTTATCGCACTCGGGTGAAAAGTGGTCAGTAATTCTCACTTGAGAGTTTCCTGGGCTGCAATTCTAGAACACTGCTGCTGCACAAGGCACAGGTGGTGGGTGCCGGGCGGCTTCTGACCACACTCCCTGTGTTCCGCAGGTGGTTTTACCCAGGTGACAACCCCCACACTGGGGCTCCTGACTGGCTGTATGCGGGAGATTACTTCGAGCGGGATTTCTCTGACTGCCCCGATATCTACTGAGGGCCTGGAGGCCCAGCCTGGAAGCCTACGAGGTCAGACTCCGTGCGAGGCCACTCTGGCTCCTCCTGGCAGAGCCCAGCTTTTCTGACCCAGCTCACCTCCAACTGCCCACACTTCACTTCCCCGTGGCTGCCCTCTGTGAAGCACCACCCTGAGCCTCGGAAGGAAAGCCTGCCTGCCTCTTGTGCGACAGAAGCAAGCAGGGCTGGCAGCTGGAAAATCTGTGACTAAAGCGAGAAGCAGGAGGGGCTGTGCGCTCCTCACAGGCTGTGGCCTGGGGTTTCTGAAGGTGTTTCACACCCAGACTGGGACGGGAGGAAGGTGGATCCTGAAAAGAACCATCAGGCCAAGGAGCGCTTCCCAGGCCATGGCAACGAGAGGAGGTCTCCAGAGCACCAAGGGGATGAAGTGAAAAGCTGTCAGATCCTGTATTTTTTACCAATCTTGAGTAATGTAAAGATTGCTTTTTAAAATATTTAAGGTAAAACTACTTGAATGATATTTGCCAGGAAACATTAGTCACCATTGTGTTCCATCCAGTCAAGTTCCTGGGATGAGCCAGGTGGCAGAAATAGTTCGACCTGGACGAGACACGCCCTAGGCCGCCTCCAGGGAGCCCTGCCCCTGGCCGAGGTGTTCCGGCTGTCCCCAGGACCACACCCATGTCCTCAGAGCTGTCGTCTTTCCACTCACCTCGCCTGTGTCTGCAGTCCTATGCTTGTTTTCCTGGCATGCATGTCCCACTGTGAGGCTTGCGGAGCAGTATGCTGTGGGAGGTCAGAGCAGAGCGAGGTATCTGGCGTCAATTAAAGTTGTTTGACCACAAGTAGGTGTGTGTCCATATCAGCGTACCTCTGTCCAGTGACAGACTATGTGGAAATGTTGACACCACAGATCACAGCAGAACTCTTTGCATCAAAAACAATTTGCTGTGTGCACACCCTTGTGCACCCCCGGGCAGTTGGGTGAGTGCAGGTTACTAACACAGGCACTTCTGAATGAGTGTGCCATCAGTGTGTCCAGGCTTCAGAGCCATCTCTGCCTTCAAAGCTTAACTTTTTGTAGCCTTGGAAGCTAGAAATGGGGGACTGGTGCTTACATCTGGTGTCCTGGGCCTGCAGTCTGTTGTCTTTTGGTTCTGGGGACTGAACCCAGACAAATGCCGCACTCCCGAGTGACACCTCAGCCCTGGCCTGCAGTCTTCGTCTGCGCCTGATCCTGGAATGGGGGTGCCTGGTGGCTGTCACATACATCCGAAGCTTTATTATATTGGCATCTTTCCAGGCTGTGTTGCAATGCAGATAATTGGAGCAGGACACCGTGGACTTCTGGTGGAGGGCATGCACTTTTCCAGACGGCAGGAGGACTAGTGTCTCCCCTAGAAGGACACAACCCTCTCATCTGTGTGCTTGTCGTGAGGCCTGCCAAGTGCGAACGTGTGTCTGTCCTCTCTCTGTGGGAGAGGAGCAGATGGTCATCCTTCACTTGAGGCACTGCTCCCGGAAGCAGCTGTCCCGGCCAGTGTGCAGAGAGGACTCAGGCCATGTCCTTAGGCTTTTTGTGTCTGGCCTTCCTCGTTGGCTGTGTGGTGTGGCGGGCCCTGCATCAACACCATTCTGCCCACGTGGCCTGAAAATGTCAGCCAACAAGACACGCTAGGAAAATGCACTTATTTTTATAATATTTAATAACTGTGGAGACCCATATACTGTATATATAAACAGTCTATCCTGAGGGGTTTTGGAAGAGTATGCACAGATCAGTGAATATAAATGTTACCTTCTATCTCTGAGTAAGAAATGGGTGGTAACTGACACATTACCCTGAACAATTTTTTACTGTTTCAAAGGCTATGGCCTTTTTGCAAAGGGTTACAGACGGCTAAAAACAAGTCTTTGTGCCAGGGTAGATGTTTGGACCATGTGTTCTTTGGGACTGGCCTAGCAAGTGGATTGTTCTCCGAAGCACTTGTCCCAGAGAGGGGATTACGGGCACTTCTAAGCCAGCTGCTGGATGGCACCTCTGAGGGGCGAAGGGTCTAGGTGTTTTGAGCAGCAGCAGCTGCTTAACTGTCCCTCTCCTGGGGACTGAGCGCTGCTAGAGGAAACGAAATACCTGGACGGTGGAGTCAGCTTGGCTGGCAGGGTCCCTAAGTCCCTGACAGCTCTGTGCTGCGAGGAGGGTGAGTGGGCAGGGCAGCTGGACGGTGGTCAGGCGTCCTGAACTTCATGCCCTCAGGTGTTCTGTGGAGGCGTCGGAGGAATGTTCACCTGCCAGCACCTGGCCTGGCCTTTTAGGTGCTTCATGTCCCAGTTGCCCTCATTTGGCCCCCGAAGAGAGGGAACAGGTGCTAGGAGGCTTGAAGCTGCTTGGTGGGTAGAGGGAGGGTTCCAGACCCTTTATAAAGCCTTTCCCAGCAGCAGCGGGGTGAATTCCGGCTGACTCATACTGCCCAGCCCACACAGTGGGCCTCATGGGCACTCCTTTGTATGCAGGCTTCCCCCAGGATCTGGTCACCCTAGTCTGGCTTTTGTCTCTGTGGCTCCACCCTTTCCTATGGTCAGGCTGTTTTCATGCAGGATAATGCCTTCACTCGTGGGAGGGTATGAATCGGCAGTTTGCTCCTCCTCACTGCTGAGCATTAAATAAAATATTTCACTGTTTCTTCACCAGTTGATGGATATTTGAGTTGTTTCAAATTTGGGGCATTTATGAAAAGAATCACTAGACATTTGTATACAGGTTTTTGTGTAGACATCTGTTTTCTCTTGGGTAAACAGGAGATACTAGCTGGGTCACATGGCAGTGCTGTGTTTATAAAAGACAAGCCAAACATTGCCACCTCACCAAAGAAGATGCAGGGTTGGCAAACAGGCCTATGAAAAGTGCTTACCCCATAAGTCATTAGGAAACTGCAAATTAAAACAAGAAAGTACTACAGAGGACCAGAGATTTAGCTCAGTGGTGCCGTGCCTGCCTTGCAAGTGCAAGGTCCTGAGTCTGATCCTCAGTACCAAAAAAAAAAGAAAGCACCACTGTGCACCCGTCCAGTGACCAAAGTCCAGAACACACCACCAAGTGCTGGCGAGGCTGTGAAGCCACAGGAGCTCTGATCACGGCTCTCTTCAGAAGACAGCTTCTGATAAAACTAAGCTCACCCATGTCCTATGATCTAGCAGTTGAGCTTTAGTATTCACCTAAGTGAATTGAAACTCCCATCCACACAAAAGCCTGCACACAGACGTTTCCAGCAGCTTTATGACTAATCACAAAAACCCGAACGCGAGGGAAGACATCTTCAGCAGGCAAAAGGACAACCGAAGCATCCAGACGACGGAGGATACTCTGTGCTAAGAACAAATGAGCTTTCAAGCCATAAGACAACATGGATCTCAGATGTGAGTTGAGAGAAGCCAATCTGAAAAGGCTGTGCCCTATGATTCCAGTTTTGTGACATTCTAGAAAAGGCAAAAGCCTGGTGACAATAAAAGGATTAAAGGTGGGGGAAGTCTGAACAGGCAGAGCACAGAAGATTCTGAGGGCGGTGGACTCTGCTGCCGGCATCATGGGGATGGCATTATTTGCCAAAGTCCATGGTACAGTGCTGTAGTCTGAAATGTGTCTTCTCCGAATGCAGGTGTTGGACCCTAACAGGCAGTGTGGTGGTCCCCAGGGTGGCTTCTGGGAGGTGAGCTTTTCCCTCTGCAGGGGTCAAGGCCCTCATGAAAGAGGCGTCCTGTAGCGCCCTTGCCTTGCCCTTGCACCTCCCCAGCAAGCAGAGAGCAGCCCTGCTAGACACCAAACCTGCCAGCGCCTTGACCTTGGATTTCAGCCTCCAGAACTTTGAGGAGTTCCTATTCTGTATCAATTCCACTGTCTGTGGTATTTCTGTTACAGGAGTACCAAATAAGAGTGCTGCGGTTATTAAACTCTGGACTTTGGTCCAGAGAGTTCACCAGCTGTAACAAATGCTGGAAGGGTGGGCACAGGGGAGGCTTGGGGCAGGGGTGGAGTAGCAACTGTAGCAACTGCCTGTACTTTTTTTTTTTTCCTTTTTTTTTGGTACTGGGGATCCAACTCAGGCCCTTGTGCTTGGGAAGCAGACAGCAGACCCACTGAGCCAAATCCCGGCCCTTTGTTCCATTTTACTGTAGACCAAAAACTGTTTCACAAAATGGTCTATTAATAAAAAAGTTAGGAAAAAATCCATACCTACTGAACTTTTCCCAGCGACACCATTTTGTTTCCTTAGCACTTGGTATTACCGTATCTTTTCCTGTGCTTTTAACCAATCTAAAGGGTGAGTTTTAATTTGCATTTCCCTTATGAATAATGCTATGAGCAGCTTTTCCTGTACACCTCTACCATCTGGGGAACCTCCTGGGGAATGCTCTGGCCACACTGTGGGCCACTTTGCTGCTGTGCCTGGGGCCCTTGAGCCTCCATGCCCTTCCGTCTGGGACCTGGAGAGCTGCCAGTGCCAGACTTGTTCTCTTTGCAGTCCGTTTTTTTTTTTTTTTTGAGACAGGGTCTCACTACATAGTTGAGACTGACCTGGAACTACGTAGCCCAGGCTGGTTTCGAACTCACAGCAATCCTCCTGCCTCAGCCTCCCCGAGTGCTGGGGTTATAGGCATGCACCACCACGCCCGGCTTGCAGTTTTGTAACTGGTGCTTTTGCTTTTTATCTTTTTTCAGTACTAGGGATTAAGCCAGGGCTTCACACATGCTAGGCAAGTGCTCACTTTTTGATTATTTCTTTTTTGTTAAACAGGACTAGTAGAAACAACTTCCCTTGGAGAATCTAACTGGTTCATGCAGAGCCCATGGCAGAGAAGCTGAAGACATTCTACAGCTACCATCCTCCAGCTTAGTACGGGTTGGTCAGTGCCTCAGAGCTGCCACCGGGCTCCTCTCGGATCACTCCTGTGACTCCCTGTGCTGAGCTCCTGTGGCTGTGCGACAGGCCACACCAAAGCCCTTCACCAGCCTGCAGATGGGGGTGGACACCCAGCACGGCCTGCGGTGCCTGCCTACCACAGCAAAGCACAGGAAGCACCCCTTGAAGTGCATGTGAAGAATTCTG